ATTCACACACTTTTCAAACTAACTCAGTATACCATGCCCTCTCATGAGCCGTTTGGTCTACTTTCTCTGATCGCAACACACCTTCGAGTGGTGATTGCAGCTCCACGGCTTTTGACCACTGTTCTTCAACAGGCGGCCAGAGTTGACCATGACCACAACGCGTCTCCGTTGTTGCCGAGGTTCACTACCTGCTTGATTGCACCTCAAATCTCACGGCTTCGCTGCCGGCCATCGCCTGGTCTTCCAGAGATCCCTCTTCTTCAGATCTTCTACACCTGTTACCTGATGAGTCTTCGAGACCTATTTCGTCTCCGACCTCTTCGGCATCATCGCGCACTGCTGGCCCCGGTTGCGCCCCCCTCCCCCCCCCTCACCCTCCTCCCCTCCCTCCTCCCTCCCCCCTCCCTCCCTCCCTCCCTCTCTCTCTCTCGCTCGCTCGCTCGCTCGCTCGCTCGCCTTCCCTTCCTCCCTCACCTCCACACTTTGCCTGCCCGTCCTCCTCCCTCCTCTCTTCCGCGCCACCTCGCCCCCCTCTCCACAACGTCGAACTCGGAAGCCCCTCTTCTCAGACACACCCTCTTCGCCTCACCCTCCTCTTCCCCCCCTCAGTCTCAAATGCAATGAACATCTACGACCAAGCTGGCAATACATTGCCCAGAAAATGCAGCGACCACTTTCTCAGATACAAGCACGATGGGCCGACTTGCTAGCACTTTCGGCATCGTCTTCGTCGCCTAACCAGAACAGATTTGCCATGGCGTGGCGCCAAAATCACAGGCTTGGGCTCATAACCTGCATCACGGAGAGCGTCTGCGCATGCAGACAGTCGAGCGTCGCGCAATGCTTTTCGACATGCTCAAAACACGACGGTAAAAAGCTTTGCGCAATGCTTTTCCAGCTTCGCGCGTCGGCAACTAGACGACGGTTGGCCCGAGAGCGAGACATGTAATTGTCCAGCGCTGTCGAAAAGATGTATAGAAAGAGAGAAAGAGAGGGTGGATGTGAAGGAGTGACAGTGTGATGTGCAGGTGCGATATAGATCTGTAGATGTATGGAAGTGGAGAGATAGATCTGTGGATGTGAGCGTGCGAAGATGTAAATGCACAGAGACGAGAGAAAAGATATGTAGAAAGAAAGAAAGAAAGACAGGACAGATGGGAAGGAGCGACAGTGTGGATGTACAGATGTGATATAGATGTGCAGATGTGTGGGTGTAGTGAGGTGGAGAGGTAGATTTGCGGATGTGAGCGTGCGAAGATGTAAATGTAGAGAGGTGAGGGGGTGTAGACGTAGATGCGTCGATGCAACGGCAGTGCAACGTCAACCTTAGTTGTGCAAGTACAACGCTGAAGAGGTTCAAATAGAACTGAAGAACGTACATTTCACACTGAAGTTTCCACGAACAGGGCGACCTGAGAGTAAACGACGTCACGATCATGACAAGCGACTCGTATATTCCAAGCGAACATCGTGTGTGATGAAGGTGAAGTACACACATACTAACGTCATGATGGCAGCCACTTATGAGTAAGCAAAGTAGCTAAAAGTTGTGAACCTCTCAAGAGAGCCGGGTGGTCGGGAGACGTGACTCAGCTGGAGGGGCGCCAGAGCAGCCGCGAGAGATGACTCATCCGCGTACTAAAGTTGTACTACAAAGTCGCCAGTTCTCAGCTTCCAGCTCCACAGCTTGCTCCGCGTACTAAAGTTGTACTAGAAAGTCGCCAGTTCTCAGCTTCCAGCTCTACAGATTGCTCCGCGTACTAAAGTTGTACTAGAAAGTCGCCAGTTCTCATCTTCCAGCTCCCCAGATACTCCGCGTATTAAAGTTGTACTACAAAGTCGCCAGTTCTCAGCTTCCAGCTCCGCAGATACTCCGTGTACTAAAGTTGTACTACAAAGTCGCCAGTTCTCATCATCCAGCTCCCCAGATACTCCGCGTGCTAAAGTTGTACTACAAAGTTGCCAGTCCTCAGCTTCCAGCTCCACAGATTGCTCCGCGTACTAAAGTTGTACTACAAAGTCGCCAGTTCCAGCTCGCCAGATACTCCGCGTACTGAAGTCGTACTAGAAAGTCGCCAGTTCTCATCTTCCAGCTCCCCAGACACTCCGCGTACTCAAGTTGTACTACAATACAAAGCCGCCAGTTCTCACCTTCCAGCTCCACAGATTGCTCCGCGCGCTAAAGTTGCACTACAAAGTCGACACGCGCGATCTGCGCAGAGGGTTGCCCGCGACGGGACAAATCGCACTCTCGCCTGCATTTCGCGCATCCGACACGCATGATCTCCGCAGAAGGTTGCCCGCGACCGGGACAAATCGCACTCTCGCCTGCATTTCGCGCATCCGACACGCGCGATCTCCGCAGAGGGTTGCCCGCGACCGGGACAAATCGCACTCTCGCCTGCATTTCGCGCATCCGACATGCACGATCTCCGCAGAGGGTTGCCCGCGACAAAACCAAATCGCACTCTCGCCTGCATTTCGCGCATCCGACGCGCACGATCTCCGCAGAAGGTTGCCCGCGACAAAACCAAATCGCACCCTCGCCTGCATTTCGCGCACTCGACGCGCGCGATCTCCGCAGAGGGTTGCGTTTCGTGGCGGTCCGGCGGCGCTGCCCCCGGCCTTAAGAGAGAAAGTTAAGAAGAGCGAGAGGTGAAGATGTGAGATGTAGATGTGAGGATGTGAAGATGAGCAGAGATGTAGATGTGCAGATGTGAACATGAGCAGAGATGTAGATGTGTGAAGATGAAGATGAGCTGAGATGTAGATGCGAGGATGTGCAGATGAGCAGAGATGTAGATGTGCAGATGTGAAGATGAGCAGAGATGTAGACGTGTGAAGATGAAGATGAGCTGAGATGTAGATGCGAGGATGTGGAGATGAGCAGAGACGTAGACGTGCAGATGTGAAGATGAGCAGAGATATAGGTGAGAACGTGATTGTGCAGAGGTGAAGATGTGAAGATGTAGAGGAGGTGTAGTTCTGCAGATGTTTTTTACGAAGAACCCTTCGCAGGCGCTCTCGGGAAAAATGGTCTTCTGGGCGACTGCCACTACCAAAGTAACGACAATAGCAGCAATAACCCCGGCTGGGGACAACTGGGATCTGAGTACAAATCATTTCTTCAGCCAACAAAAGGTCTTCCGCGCAAAAGTAAATGGGTAGCGATAATAAAGAAGTAAAGCATATATGTAGAAGATATCGATGCTACTGCGTTGACCGCTTAAGGATGGGGCGTCAATGTTTGGGCCCTGTTTGGCAACCGACGACAGAATTGACAACAAGTTATGGCATCGCCGGTGTGCGAAGTTCTACAAACCTGTACATCAACCAATTTAGGGTTGCTCAACACCCTGAGCCCCGAAGACTCATTGACTTCAAACATTTTCAAAGACTTCAGTTTTCAAACAACCTTCAGCCCTTCAACCTGACTGCAAAAGATGGCCGTCGCCGTTGCGACGCATGGAATGACACCAGCCAGTACACACGCCACTTCTGCCAGAGGTGGAGCTAAACTAGGAGCAACAAGTCATGTGGAGCTGCAGCCCGCCCAGCCTCCCACGCTTCTATTTCACTGCGTTAACTAGGACAAAACTCAATGCTGCAGCGCCAAATCAAAGAATAGTGAGCAAACAGTGTTTGGGCACGGCAAATGCAACAATACCTTTCGAAGCAAGATTCAACACCTTTCCTAAGCCGCGCGCTTCCCAGCTGCAATGTTAGTTGCAGAAGGGGCAGGGGGTAACAAACTCAAGAGGACGGTGGCGTGGGCAACTGGAAGAGTCGGGCCGGGCAGCCCTGGCACCGCCGGAGGCGCTCCCTTATCGGGGAAGGGCCTCAGCCGCTGACCAACCGCGGGGATGATCTATGCACTGCGTTGGAACGCAGGCCACTGGGGAGAGCGTAGACAGAGGCATTTTTGTCGAAATGATGTAAGCTGGAGCAACATATGGCTCCAAGATGGATACGTTGATGGATGTGAAGTCGTTTTCAAAGGCCTGTGGTGCGAGATATGCTGCGCGAGCGGCCTTGCATTATAAGCATTTTGTGCTTCTGCTTGCTCTCCTTCTCTTCCTCTTCCAGAGAAAGAGTAAAAGAGCAGGAGAAAGAGAAAGAGAAAGAGAAAGAGAAGAGGAAGAGAAAGAGAAAGAGAAAGAGAAAGAGAAGGAGGAAGAGAAAGAGGAAGAGCAAGAGAAAGAGAAAAAGAGAAAAGAAAGTTTATATATAAAAAAAGAGAGAAGCGGGGTGGTTGTTATCTTGGACCTGGACGGACCCCTGCTTACGCCGCCCGCGCCTGACGCCTGCGCCTGCCCAGCTTGCCTGCCCGGCCGCTCTTAGGCGTAAGCGTTTAAATAAATATGGCCCAAACCTTTTTGAAACTTGATTACCTTTCGTTGCGACATAAAATATATAACAACCGTTTACCACTCATACTCCTCGGATAGATGTGTTTTCGAAAAAAAAGGCAATTTCGATTGGGCCCTTGCCTCGTCCACGTTATCAACGGGATGACACCATGAAACCCAGAGCGCAGTCGCTGATTGAGAGAATGCGCAACGTGGCCTGTCGTTGCCTTGCCTGCAACGTGGGACTTCGTAGCTGGAGCCAAGCAGGCGAACGCATCAGCCATTGGTGCAAACGGCAGCGGGGGAAAACAAGGCGCGCAACAAACTCAACGGCCTTTTTGCGCGAGCGTCAGGGAATCCAGAAAATTCAAGAAAAGGCAGTGCGCAAAGCATCATGTTTGGCGTTCGGCAGCACTGCATTGTTTTGAACAAACGCTGAGCGCGGCTGCTCAATAATATCTGAAACTGATAAAGGACCCATCTTGAGCTTGGCTGAACAATTGCAATCATGAGCTATCTGGCTTCAGGATTTTGCACACGACGGGTCCATATTTAGGAGGAAATCCTTCTATAAGCCTGGGATGGAGTTCGAACAGCTTAGCGCGCGCTTGAAAATTTGCGCGCTTAAGCCGTGCTCCTCTGGCACCCAACTCAGTCAAACAATTTGGAAAAGTCTTCTTGACTCTGTGCTCCGACCTTCCAAGTGGCGCTTTTCATTGGTGCTCTTTCAGATGTCACCGTTCTCACGCCGCTAACTTTTGTTTTCATCTGTTTTTTTTTCGAGTTTTCTCCTTCCTCTAGCCGTCCTTTTGCTTCTCGTGTTCACCCCTCCACAGCCTTTGGCGCGGGTGGTTCCTGGCAGCCAGAAAGCCACGCCGTTTCTGTGCGAATGCTATACAAATCATAAATTTGTTTTTTCCGCAGTCTGCGCTGACTTTGGTTGTAAAGGGCAAAGCCAACCCTGTGCTCCTTTCTTTAACGATCGCTCTTTGCAGGTGTCGCGTCGACCCGTATCTATACGCCGACCAAGAAGCCAACAAGGCAACCAACCGACAAACCATGGTTGACACCAGCAACATTTTACCCTTTTCCTCGCGCTCTGCAGTTCGCAGCGGCGCTGCCACAGGCACTTGATGGGCTGGGCCGTTCCGCAGGACAAGCCTATCGTCAAGAAAGCGTGGATTGCCGGCGCTCTCTTGAGCCCTGAAAGATCTCTGGTCGCCAGCTGCTTTCTGGGCCGGTGAACAAGCGAATGCAGGCCTTGGCCTTTCCTCAGTATTGCGCAGCAAAAACCTTTCCAGGTACTGGTGATGAGTCATCCCGACAATGCATGTTCTTATAAGTTTGTGAACAATCTTTCAATTCTTGTCGGGGCCGGGGGCGTGCAGTATTGGCTTGCCAACTATTCCTCGCCGCCTTGTCTGAGTGCAAATTTGCCAAGCCTTTGGGCGCAACTTTGCCACATTGTCTAAGAAAGGTTTGCAAGCGTGTAACGGGGCCAGCCGGCATTCTTGCAGCAACAGCATCGCCGTCACGAGCGCCCCGTATCAGGCCCGTCTTCTTTTGGCACGCGTGCTCAATTATTTGAAGCCTTAGATGCGGGGCCCAACGAAGTCATCAAGTCATCCTCCCCACATATGATATAGGCGCAAAAATCTGCAAGCTGTTCTGAGGTCGATTTTCTTCCACTTCCGTAAGGGAAATTGAGATTTGGAGGACCTGTTGCGCGATGTTAAAGGGCCAGCGCGTGATCTTCCCGGTAGGACTAGGTGTCTATCCTATTCTTCAACTTCCTTTCCTTCGCGCCCTCTCCCGCCGCTATGGTTTGATTTTAATTTTAATGTCGACCGCTTGACTAGCTTGAATGGCATGCACGGTGGCGCAGCTGGGAAGTCAACAAGCTTCCCTCTTACCCCCTCGGCTATGAAAGCAGGCCATGGCTGCTGAGCCCCGAAACCGGGGCGTGCGAGTCACAGCAACGTCTGCAGTCGTCGCAAACAACAAACTCCCCAGACAAGCAGGGTGGTGGCGGCTTGAGCCAAAATACCTGGGTGCCCATCCATCCACACCCCAACTCAGATTGTATTGCCATCCAAACATATGACAGGCATTGACAGGCTCTTTCTCTTTAACGAGTCGAAAGGGTTTAAGAACCGCAAAATTTGTAACTTCCATGCTACCGTACTTCTTCCACTTCACCGCTCGACCTCCTTCTTCTCCTCGGGAGGTTTGGCCTTTGGCGCCGGAACCTTCACCTGTGCATGGCCACATTCATTCTGGCAGCCAACGGCGCGTGCGTGGCAAGCTGCTGCTTGACATCTCCTACTATGACAAAACCCTCTGCGATGGCTGGAACACGTTGGAACCGTCCCCTTGACTTGATGTCCCACCTCGGGCATTTTGACATCAGGCGCCTTGATGTCAGGCATCTTAGGCATTTTCACGTCTGGCACTTTGACGTCAGGTACCTCAGCAAGGGAACAGTCCTACTACGTTTTCAAGTGGTGCTGCGCTGCCTTGAACTCAGGGATTTTGACGTCAGGGACCTCACAAAAAGGTACAAAGGCGCCTGAAGAAAACCAACGGCAAATTCAAATTAGAAGTTGAAGTGGTTGGGCAACGCCTGAAATATAATGAATGCAAATGCAAAAGGTTTCGAGTCCTTAAGCGCTGGAAGTGAAGGAACGGAGCCGGTCAGGCCCTGCGAAGTCTTGCGGTGTCGTGTTCAGACAAATGAGCGCGTGGATGATGCAAGCTAATCAATCATTAAGGGTCGAATCTATGTCTCCTGCGGCATGGAAGGCATGCTGATCTGTGGTGCAGGTGGCAAGCTGAGCTGCAAGGATGGTCCTCTCATGGCTGTGACTTGTAGGCGTTAAATTCAGTCGACTTGTGGCTGTGCTTGCTCACTATCGAAAAGCACTTCAATAGGCTAAAATCGATGTCCTGAGCGGATCCCGGATGCAATTGTCGCCAAAACAAGACCGAGGGCCTCAAAAAACACAAGTGTCAAAATGATCTCGCCTGCGTGAAAATGTCGCCCAATATGGCAACCTGTCGCGTGTCGTGAACACATTCATCGGTTACTTTACTTTGAGCGATCCCCAGCATGACATTTCAGTTATTCACGTCGCTTCGCGACGGTAACCGCCCGCGCCGCATGGAAGGGGACAATATTTCCACCGAACATAGCCCCGGAAGTGACCCCCCCTCCACTCCCCAACGTGGCCGAGCATAGGTTCCATGTTTCGAGATAGGGATTTAACATGGCCCAACGTACACCATATTCAGAATAGATGGCTATATCCGGAAACGAGTAGATGGCGCCAGAAAGTGCCAAAAGCGCCTCCGGAAAACCGTGATATAAAAAAACACATACATGCCTATGCATCCTCAAGCGTAATAAATGGCATTCCACCCATTCACAGAGTAGACTTGCGCCATCTTCTGCAAAGAACGCTGGTATAAGATGTTGATTTCTGTAGACAACCTCTCTGTTAAATTCCAATTGTTTTTAATGTTCTTCTCTTTGAACTGTCTTTCTCTCTCCTTCTTTCATATTCTCTCTCTCTCTCTCCTTCTCTTCCTTTCGCCTTTGCTATCCTTTCCTTAATGTCTCCTTTTCCTCTCCTTGGATGCCTTTCTTTTCTTTCCTTTCCTTCACTTCTCCTTTCTCTATCCTTCCCTTGCCTTTCCCTTCACCTTTCCCTTTCCTTGCACTTGCACTTGAACCAATAACAGAACGCTGCACGGTAATAGCCCAGTAGATGGCACAACCCTTGTGTGAAAGATGATTAAGATGGTTGAGCCAATAGATACTGCCAAGTAGATGGCGCAACCCTTGTGTGAAAGATGATAATGATGGTGGCGGCTATAGATGGCGCAACTCATGTCCCTATCCTTTCCAGTCCTTCTTGTATCTAACATGTTCTTTTTTTCATTTCCTGTTGATTAATTCTGTTCACTTCTCCTTTCCCTTCCCTTCCCTTTCCCTTCCTTTTCTGGACTAGTCTTTCCATCTATTTCTTTTTATTTTTTCTTTTGTTTGCTTTCCTTTCCTCACCTTTGCTTTCCTATCCTTTCCCTCTCCTCTCCTTTTTCTTTCCTTTCCTTCACTTCTCATTCCCCTCCTTCCCCTCCCATTCCATTCCCTGGAAGGGGAAAGGAAGGACAGGGAAAGGAGAAGTGAAAAGAATTACTGTAAGCGAAAGGAAATGAAAAGAAAGGAACATGTTGGATACAAGAAGGAATGGGGAGAGGGAAATGAGTTGCGCCATCTATAGGCGCAACCATCATTATCTTCTACGGAGGCATTTTGTGCCTGTGTTGTTCTTGTGGTTTATGGTGATCATGATGCTGGTGATGCTTGAGATGCTTGTGACGTCGATGATCTTGTTTCCAAAACAAGAATCCTATTAATTTCTCTTGAAATTTGTTCAATTGCCTAAAACCTTGCCAATTCTGATCAAGAATGATTAATCTATATTCAAATTTTCAAAACAAATAAAGAAAAACAATTTTTCCAAAAATCATAAATTTTAAGAAATGGCCTCAAAACTCTTGAAACATCAATGGAAGGCAGGAACTGAAGGAATTTGACCAGCAAGCTGTCTAAGAGTCTAAGAATTAAAAATTAACTAGCTACTTTTGGGGCACTTTTCTCCTCTCTTCCTGTCTCTGTGTCTATTCCCTTTACGGGCCGAGAGGTCGGAACGGGTTCGACCTCTTCGGAACGGGGGGAGACCGGTGAGCGAGGAAGCCATGCGCAGGAAGGACCGTCTCCGACACAGCACCTCCACGGCAAACGATCTGGTCCACCGGTCTCCCCCGTAAAGGGAATAGACACAGAGACAGGGGGAGAGGAGAAAAGTGCACCAAAAGTAGCTAGTTAATTTTTAATTCTTAAATAGCTTGCCACTTGCACCATCTATGGTGCTTTCATGGGTTTCCTCTTGCCGATGTTCTTTGCAACACCGCTCTCACAAAAAAAACCTTTCACAGAAACCACTCAAACACACATTGGAAAGGTGGCTTGTGCAATCTAATGTCGTGCTTGCTGCTTTCAGGGCCAAACATTTTATAGCGGTCTTTCACGAAACGGATTGTAAAAGTAGATGGTGCCAAACCCGTCCCCGACTAGTAGTTTCCCATTCATTGTCACGGTTTTTCGCCTGACATGGCTTGCGCCATCTGCATCTGGGCTTTTTCGTTCCAGAGGCGTTTTTCCCTACGCAATAAATGGCGCATTACAAAAACCTGAGCCAAGTTTTCTGACCCCAGAGTAGTTGGGGGGTTAAAAGACTGCTGCCATTTTGCGGGTCGGGTAAGCGGTGAGAGAGCTTCAGGAAGGAACACGATCTGGAACGGGGTCTTGTGCTCTTGGAGCCAAGGGAGTCAGTATGAAAGGAAGATAGGGACTTGAACGTCGCAAATTGATGTATCTTTTCTCAAGGTAGCTCAAGATCGCGCAAGATAGGCCGGACATTCGGCTCAACAGGAGCAGAGATAAGCAGAGATAAGGTCAATTAACGGTAACGTGTTCTCCTAACGTGGCCCGACATAGTTTCCATATTGCCGAACATAGCCACAGAAGTCACTATCTGAAGCATGTTCCCTCGAGACCGGGACTCGTCGCAAACATGGCTGAACCGGGATCGGAAAAAAGTAAAGATATGTCCTGTTCGGCCCGCCCCCCAACGTGGCCGAACATAGCTTCCATATTGCCTAACATAGCTCTAGAAGTCTGCGAGAGAAGGACTGGACCGTCGCAAATATAAGGCTCAACAGGAGCAGAGATAAGCAGAGACAAGGTCTAGGAACGGTAACAGTTTCTAACGAGCATAGCTTGCAAATTTTCATATTGTGGAACAAAGCCTCAGTGAGATAGTGCCTTCGGGGGCTATGTTCGATCATATGGAACTATGCTCGTGAGATAATGTTACCATTCCTGGACCTTATCTTTCCTTATCTCTGCTCCTGACCACCATTCCTGGACCTTATCTTTCCTTATCTCTGCTCCTGACTCGCCACGTACCCGCACGTTCAAGTCCCTATCTCGAGGAGACATGCTTGAAATAGTGACTTCTGGGTCTATGTTAGACAATATCTTCACTCTATTCCAGTCCCTTTTGAACCTTCGTTGGGTCATGTTTACGACGTTCAAGTACATACTTGAGATAGTGACTTCTGGGGTTATGTTCGACCATCTGGGAACTATGCTCGTGAGATAATGTTACCATTCCTGGACCTTATCTTTCCTGATCTCTGCTCCGGACCACCATTCCTGGACCTTATCTTTCCTTATCTCTACTCCTGACCAGCCACGTACCCGGGCGTTCAAGTCCCTATCTCGAGGAGACATGCTTAAGATAGTGACTTTGATAGTGACTTTGCAGGCTTTTCCAATCCCTTTTGAGCTCTCGTTGGGCCATGTTTACGACGTTGAAGCCCCTATCTCGAAGAAGCATGCTTGAGATAGTGACTTTTGGGGCTATGTTCGATCATATGCACGCTCTGCTCGTGCGAAAATGTTACCGTTCCTGGACGTGATCTCTGCTTATCTCTGCTTCTGTAGCCAAATATCACCTCTAAAGCTATGTCAGGCAATATGGAAGCTATGTTTGGCCACGTTAGGGGGGGGTTTTATTCCAGTTTACAACGTTCAAGTCCCTATCTCGCAGACACATCCTTTAGATAGTGACTTCTAGGGCTATGTTAGGCAATATCTTCACTCTATTCCAGTCCCTTTTGAGCCTTCGTTGGGCCATGTTTACGACGTTCAAGTACCTATCTCGCAGACACGTCCGCTAGATAGTGAGCTATGTTACGCAATATGGAAGCTATGTTGAGCCCCGTTAGGGGAACCTGTTCAGCCAAATGTCCGGCCTCAGTCCAATTACACTTTACCGCTCAGATGATGCAGATGATGCAAAGCAGAAAATTGCATTTCTTGCATCACTAGAGGCTTCAAGTTAGCACGAATTTATCTTCCAGCACTTTAAGCCGGTTCCAAAAACGTGAAAAATACAGGATTCTAGAGCGAAAATGCCCCCCCCTAGCTAAAGCTATAGTAGTACTTGCGGTACTTGCGGTATAACGCGAGCCTCATAAAACGCCTCGGCACCTTCGGTGCGGGCGGATTTGTTTTTCGCAGGGCTGCGGCAGTGGCCACTCGATCTGGCGCTTGCGGTGGAGGTCAGGTTGTGCCCACTGAGATCTGGCGCTTGCGGTTGAGGTGCGGCTGCGATCTGGCGCTTGCGGTTGAGGTCCGGTAGTGCCCACTGCGATCTGGCGCTTGCGGTTGAGGTCCGGTAGCGCCCGCTGCGATCTGGCGCTTGCGGTGGAGGTCCGGTAGTGCCCACTGAGATCTGGCGCTTGCGGTTGAGGTCCGGTAGCGCCCACTGCGATCTGGCGCTTGCAGTCGTGTTGGCGAGGAGGCGGAGGAAGGAGAAGAGCTCTGATAAAATCTAACAACGCTATACAACGCTCACCTGGCAGGTGGGGAAAGCATTGCCTTTCCTCCTGCCACCTGCAGCACCACGACTAGAATGGCCTTTGAAGATGGGTTCTGCCATGATAACAGCTGCAAATATCGCGAAACGCGTGCTTAGGCCTTCCGGAGATCTGCCCCATCGGGGATGATATTGCAAATTGGCAGACCCGCAGACCCAAGGTTCGTGTAATGACCAGTTGGTAAACAGTTGGTGCAAAAATCAAGCTCCTTTGAAAGAGGTGCCAGGTTTCTGCGCAGTTCTTGTTCACAGTTCAACAGGGGCCATTTTGTAGTCATAGTCCTGGGTCTGGGTGGTGGAGATATCTTAGAAGGCACCGCCAGCTTTGATCTCTTCCAGGTTGGCGCCGGTGAGCGGCAGTCTCGATAGCAAAGCAAATCCATGGAGTCTGCGCAGTGCAAACCGCCTTTGTGCATGCTTGAAAGTGTTTGTGGGGTGTCCTGAACGGCTTGTCATGCCCTGTACCAGGTGCTTCAGATTCTTTCCGCTTTGGACTCCTAAGATGCTCAACCACCCTGGCCATCACCTTTCATACATCCGACATCCAACCACCACCTGTCACTATCTCAAAGGTTCGTCTAGTTTTGTGAGACAGCGGGTAGGGGGAGACCCAGAAATCGAACTGGGCACGCCCAAAAATGGTGGGGCATGGCCAGGGCAAAAGGTTCGCTTGATGACTAAACTGGCTGAAAATGAAGCTGAGCATGAGGAAGGGGATGATCGCGAGGAAAAGCACGTTGATAAATGTGAAAGGTGAACATGGGTTCGAAGGTGAAGATGAGCGGGTTGAGGATGAGCATAAGGATGAGTACGACGATCAGCATCAACAATGAGAGATGATGAGGATGAGGGCGCACTGTGCTAAAAGCTAAATATATACATAAAGATCATGCACCTGCGCCGACCTCCAGGACAATGTAATGCATTTTCTGTTGGGCCAACTCGCTGGGGCCGAGGCCTACCTCTGGTATCTAAAGTTAAGCTAGAAACGTGCTTTGAAACCGCATAATTACTGTAGGACCCGACACGTCATAATGCTTACAACGACCCTCTATTTACAGTACCCAAAGGGTAGGAGTTCTTCAGAGGGGGAGAACCATTTCAAGTGAAAAAGGAATGTTTCTCGTGGCTTGACGGCATGGTGCTACCTGCCACAGGGTTGAAGTCAAATGTATGTTTGCGTTGTTGAGACAAACATCCGCACCTCTATGCGCGTGTGTGTCAAATTGCGCGCAGAAAATGAGGGCGCCTGGGTCCCTCCCTTCGAAAGCCAGTTGAAGTGAACACACCAGGAGTGTCACCCATGACCCGGCCGTTCTAGATGCCCAAACATCGGCGCATCCGAGGTGAGAGAGGCAAATGCTGTGCAAAGATGGCGCGCTCGGCCCACAGAACATTCAAGTTAGCAAATTGAAGGCTTGCCTTTGGGAGCGACGCTACCTCCATACTTGCCGTAGGGCCATTTCGAGAAGCAAGGTTGCTGGTCACTTTCATCACTGAAGGCTGGTGGTTCCATCCGCCGTGCATGATCGCACTTGCACGTCTACACCCAATGACCGTCCTTTCGGAGGGCCCACAATTAGTCGAGCTATGCCAAACTTGTTAGAGACTGGTAGCTGTGAAAGGCATGTCCACTTTGGCTTTCACACCACTATCTGCCTTCTCTAGGGGATTCATCTCAAAATGATGTGGCGTTGCAACAAAAGGCCCCTCGATCGCAAACAGTGCAGGCCCAGCTTGTATGCATCTGGCCACCATCTGCTATGAATATAAAACAGTGGCAAAGGCCGACGAGTGGTTTGATCAGCTTTTCATTGACCTATAGCCGAGCGTCCATCGCTCCAACAAAGACATGAGCAAATCAAATAAATCATTCAAGCCGAACGTGCGAAATCAAATACCTGCGCCATAACAGGCAAACAAACTGCAATCGCTGGCTGAGAAGCGCGCTGCCAAGTACGAGATGCCTTCTGAGAGGCCCAACAGGCCCAATGGTCCTGCTGGCAAGCCCCGACCACGCTGCAAGAAGCTTCCCAAGGACCACAGTACCAAGCCTAGGGAGCGAAGAACAGTTGAAGCAATAGATAACAAAACCTGGAACTCAAATAAAAAAACAACCAACAACAATACATGCCCCATGCCTTTAGCTGGTTTAAAAGGCTTCATTCTGAATTGTTTTGTCCTGTGTTCTTTCCCCGATTCAAAATCTTCTCCTGTGTCCTTCGATTCTGGACACAAATGACTCAGAAATGCGTCCTGCTCAAACTGGGGCCTTGACCAATGGAGACCAAGCACGAGAGGAGCTCCAGACCATAAGGACCAAATTGAAAGCTTTCACCCCTACAAACACAAAGTCTCCCCAACAAACCAACCAAACAGGCATCCCATCATGTGCAAAGAAACCTTACACAAGAGCAACGCTGAACAACAAACATGCTCCCCTCCAGCCTCACCACATTGAAAGCAGTGAAGAGGGCATAGCAGGTGTGCGGTAGGAACGCCAGGCCGACAACAAAGCCAGAGAAACCCGAAATCTCAACAGAATCCTCGAAACAAACTCCAGCAAAAGGTCCAAACATAATTATAAAGCAAAGAACAACTGTTCGAAACAAACCGTTCGTTTCTTTGCCTCGGCAGCACTGTCAGCAAATCGTGTGATTCGAAGCTGGCCTTAATCACATGCGGGAGTGCCATAGCTTGAGCAGCTGGATTGAAAATTGAACACGGAACCTGATAACTTCTTTCTTGACGTCTCTCAAACCCTCGTCTGCCAGATGTTTCGCGGCAAAGAGGCTGCGACGCTCTGGCCTTTCCAAGTTGGGGATCTTCGGCGCTACAAATGAATCTTGAAAGTGCCACGCGCAGGCCCTGGCGCAGCTTGAGAACCGTGCGTGATGTGAAAACCTCCACGCATCAAGCTACTCTGGACCATTCTTGAATATATAGCCAGGGAATGCCTTAAATACGTCTGGTTTTCAAACAAGAGGGCGCGGCAAGACCACCAACAAAAGCAGCTCGGAAAGTGCACGCCTAAGCGACAATGTGAAATGACGTGCGTGAAAATGAAGAGGATGAGAATGAGAGGAAACAAGAATGGGAATTTGCCACCGCGCTGGCAACAATCGTCGATTCTCGAAAAACACTCCGCCATCCCTCGGTTCTTAGGATTAATGCGGTGGCAGTTGCGGGGAAACGAAGAACGGGTTACAAAACGCATCTTTTGTATACACATAGACAAATTTTTTTGAGAGAATGTGCATGTATAATGTCAAAAAATATTTCCGTTGGGTGCAAAGCAGCGTCATTTGCGGAAAGCGATGGTGAATCAAACGCAAATTGTGTTTACGCAAAACATATTTCTGTATGTATATATAGTAGCCGAGTGAAAGATAGAATGCGCGTTTGGGAATCGACGGGATAAATTCGGGGCCCGTGGGGCCCTAGCGAGACGCATTCTAACTAGGAGATAGAATTTGACACAAACCGAGAAGATAGAATGCAAGCACTAAAAACACTGATTTTCTTTATAAAGATGTGTAAAAGACAGTTGATTTAAAGATAGAATGTCTAGGATGACTTTGGTGCTACCAAAGCGATTCAGAGTAGCCAAGGCGGTTGCAGAGATGCATAAAAACCAGCAGGAACACAGTTAGAATGCTCAAAGATTGCTCAAACCTGTGTTCACGTTGACATTTGTATATGGATACATACACCTATATATAGCGAATAATTCACAAGAGTTCTTGACATCCGGATGCAATATGCGACCGCAACGTGTTGTATACATGTATATAATAGGATGCGTCAAGCTCTGACAGCAGAGCCATCTTCATCTGCCAGAGACCGCTCGCGATGGAGAAGTTGACACAAGAGCTACTCGCGCGAGGCCAGGGAAGACATGAGCCACAGTCAAAATCATAGCGTTAAGGTCTTGTATATATATATATATAAATGTATCATTTTTGGTGATATCTTGCAGAATCTTGCACATTCCGAGGAAGGTTTGGAGGGTTTCATTGGCACGCCATGCGTGAGAGTCAAAAGTTTCCTTCACAGAGAAAGCTACCGCCGACTTTGTGAACGTGGTCTCACAGCTCTGCCAGGTGTCCCTGGCGTGCACATATCGTATCATGCCGGCTCAAGAACCTGGACAGGTTTCTATGAGCAGAGCAGCAAAGGCATGTGCTTCACGCACGGGGGGACGACCTTCCGCTCCGAGTCAGAGGCATTGCTTCTGTGCCTCAAGGCAGTCATCGAGGCCCACGTTGCGAAGCAACCCCGCGATGGAGCATGGAAAGCCCAGCTTGAGAAGATCAAGGCAACTGAGGCCACTTGTGCGAATTTGTGATGCAGTTGAGATAGTTTTTGAGCTGATGGCTGATGGCCTAGAGAAGCTCATGGCAGACTCGAGTGCACTGAATGCGCGTAACGTGCATGCATTGCATGTATTTTTTCAAAGACTCAGGCAGCACAGACGTCAAGGGGGATGGGGAAAAAAGGTGCGCTCACATTCTAACTTTCTGGCATATCACACCTGTGCATCAAAGAATTGATAAACATTAAGAAAACTACCACACATTCTAACTCCATATGTTACTCTTGGAAACCCTCCAAAAACATTGCCACACATTCTAACTTCTGGCACATCACGCCTGTGCATCAAATCATTGAAAAAACATCAAAAAACTGCCATGCGTTCTAACTAATTTATTTTTCGGGCATTGACACATTCTAACTTCCGGGGTTAAAATTTTGGGAATTGACACCCCATTCTAACTTTCACTATGCTACTATAAACAAATTGACTGTTATTTTTCCGCAAGAGACCACAAACAGTGTGTCTAAAGGTCTGAGGCCTAGAGGTGTAGAAGCAGGTCTAGAGATCTAGGCGAATTGGGCTCTAGAGAGAGATGGTGGTCATGATGGTGGTGGTGGTGGTGGTGGTGGTAGCGATGATAGCGACCCACCTACACATCGCACCGATGGCGCCAACGCCTTTCACGACTTCACACTCCACCACAAGGCTATCATTCTGACAACTTCACTCAGCCCAATGCAATTCACCTCAAACTTCAATACAGCCAACAGCCCGCCAGACACCAATACCACCAATACACCCTCTCCTTAACCAAAATTCCACCCCCCCACCCTCTGATTCAATTATCCTAGGCGCAAAGCTTTTTCTACGTGTATGTGCCTATGGAAATTACAAATACATATGTTGAAAATTGTTGTTTGTTCGAAGTACCTACCTGAAGTACGTACAGGTCAAGGCGATGAAAAATGTAAGTCATGGCCCGTTTGCAGGCGGCACTCTTTTCGTTCCGATGACGGGCGAGCCGTGGGACGTGCACCACATGGTGCTAGAATTGGTCCAACGGCAACCGGGAGCAGACAACGGTTCTTGTTGAACCGTTGGCAATGCTCTGTCAGAAGAGGGTTGCTTCAAGCCAACAAAGTTTCCTGAACTTATTGCCACGGCGGTCTCATGGAGGTGCGAAGAATTGCTTGTTTTGAGGCCGCTACTATATGGTTCTTCAATCGTGCTAAAAAGATAATTACTATATTATATCAACAACCTATACTATTTATTACATATCAAAGTTTGTCTGTTTAGCGCAGGCTAGTTCTTTACAACAAAGCGGTGCATGCTTTGTTTAGAGTGATGTTTGTCAGGTGCGCAGACACCCTCTTCGGGCCCCGACCTTTGACCAGTTCGGGCCCGGACCTTCAACCCGTTCGGGCCCCGACCTGACCAGTTCGGGCCCCGACCAGTTTGTCTGGACCGGTAAGTGATCCTCGAATCTACTGGCCTGGGCAAAAAGGGCACTCGTTGACGCGAACTATAGGTAGCTCTGAACTTTGATTTGCCAACGCGATCGAGGATCACGACGTGCAGCGCTGTACAAAGCTGGGGCGGCAAAGGCACTTCCGATAGCTTTGCCTCAGGCACCCGCCCTGGACGGAGTCAACCGCTTTTTGTGCGGACCTGTGAAACCAGGGGCCCATTTTATACAAGAGATGTGCCAAGTACATGATCAACAATGACAAGAAACACTCAACACTCAACAAGGAGGCAGAGAAGAAGGTGGCTGGCAATCCGCAGATCAGGGGGCGCGGTGGTGGTCCATTGCAACTCTGGCCACCACCGCGCCCCCCAATTGGTGGCAGCTCTTTACAGTGGCCTGATGCAGTGCTCCTTCTCGGAACCAGTGGCTCGTCAAGATTTCATCATGACATGTTGTTCACTTTTGAACTTTGGAACCTTCACTTGTGGTTTTCATTTTGTGTACTGTGTGGATTTGCTGGCAAAGCTGGAACTTGAGGTTCAACATGTCCGACAACTGCGCCCGTCAGTTGCCAACTTGCTTAGGTATTGTTGATTCAAGTTGTCTGTCATTTCAGCTTTCTTGAAGCCGAGGAAAAAGGCAAGGTCAAGGGCAAAGGCAAGAAGAGGTTCAGCTTCGTTCAGGAGGTCCAGAAGAGGATTACCGAGCTGCACCATGCGTTCACCTGAAAAAAATCAGCGCTTGCATTGATGCTTGAAAAATGTCTTGCATTGCAGCTTTTGGCATTGAGGAAGATGAAGCATTACTTGTTCAACAAGGAAGCATATCGGTTCCAACAGCCAATCAATGGGAGGTCCTTCTAGCTGGGTTTCTTCAGAAACAGAATTCCAAAGAGATAAAAGCTTTCGGAAATGAAGAATCGCTACAACTAGAGATTGATGAATCCAAACGGGGTGAGTGGGAAACCCTAGAAGGAAAAACTGCAGTCAGAGTGTGGAAGGGTGCCAAGGCCGCAGCCATCCGGCAGAAATATGGGCATCGCTTCATCGGGAGCAGGTTCGTAGTGATCCGCAAGACCGATGAGGATGGCAGTCGCATCAAAAGCCGATGGTGTCTGCAGGGACACTTGGATCCGGACTTCCATGCAAAAATCCTATCAGGAGCATGTCACAGTCCCACACTGCATCCTCTGTCAAGAGCTCTCGTCCTTCAAGCCATTGTCAGCCATAAGTGGCAGTTGCAGCTCGGGGATGTGAAAGGGGCATTCCTAGAGGCCGGTCCCATCGATCCTAAATTCAATCCCCTCTACGCACACCAACCAGCAGGGGGGTCCCCGGACTCGATCCAAATGACGTGATAGAAGTGATCGGAAATGTGCACGGATCCAACAACGCGCCATTCAACTGGTGGTCTACATTCGACCAAGAGTAGTCAGATCACAATTCGACAATTGCCTATACTATGTGCATTCCAAGTCCACCGGACAGCTAACCGGGATTGTAGGGGCTCACGTGGACGATATCATCACTGGCGGACATGGACCAGAATATGAACAATGCTTGAGTCACCTCAAAAATAGGTTTCCTTTCAGAAAATGGCGTTGTGGCAATGGAGCGTTATGCGGGGTTCAGTACAACCAAGATCCGAATTCCTTTGAGATCACGTACCACCAAAAGGAATATGCCCAACATATGAAACCCATCCACATGACCAGGGAACGCAGCCGACAAAAGACCGCTCATGCTTCCGACAAAGAAGTAGCTGCTCTAAGAGCTGTGAACGGGGCAGCAAACTGGCTCACGAGCCAGTCCCGTCCAGACCTTGCAGCGCAGACCTCATTTTCACAACCGTGTTTTCCAACACCTTTGATTAGTGATGTCGCTTTTGCGCTTTTGCAAACCAGTTGGTCCATAGAGCAAGACAGTATCATGATGTTGAGATCAAGGTTCGACATATCCCATGGGAAGACATGGTGTTGTGTTTTCATTCGGACGCAGGATTTGGAAATGCATCCGAAAACAGCACTCAAGCAGGGTACATCGCAGCCTTTGCTCACAGAAAATTGGAAAAGAATGAGCCAAGTGCTTGGTCTCCTTTCTGTTGGAAATCATACAAAGTACCTAGAAAGGTTGCACGCACTCTCGGCGAGGGCTTTCTCCACTGCCAGTGCCGTCTGCGAATGGATGGCATTGATGTTTGCTGAGATCAACTCCGGACCGTTCGACCTTCGGACAAATGAGCAACTAAAGGGATCCCCTACTGTCAACGACATGCCCGCTCGAGATAAGGTGCAGAAACCAAGTATCATAGGAATGACTGATTGCAAGAGTCTATACGATAATCTCAGTAGCTGGTCGTCAATATCCAAATGTGAAGACAAACGCATAGCTATCGACATTGGCATTGTTCGCCAATCCATGATTCGATGCGGCCTGTCCGTCCGTTGGGTTCCAACAGAGTTGATGCTGGCTGACGCTCTTACCGAAGATGCTCAAGACCCAGCTGACTTGTTGAGATCCGCCTTAAGACTAGGCAAATACCAACTCAATGAAGAGGCGTCCATTCTTGAGCAAAAGAAGAAAGTTCGTGAAGAGAGAAACAAAAGGAAAGAGCAACAGAAAGCTGTAGAAGCAAAGCAACAAGAGCAGAAAAGTCGGAAAGCTGGAAAGCAAAACAAATAGCCAGGGTCAGTTCTTTCGTTTCGCAGTTTGCATCATAGTTCGTATGCGCATATGCACAGGGGGTAAGCTTGCTATAGGGGTGAATAGCAATAATCACACATTCAATCTGCAATGCAGTGAGAACCCTGCTCGGGAGTCAGAATGACGCTGATGGTTTTCGCTTGTTTAGATAGTGTGCAAAGCCTTTCGTGTTGTGTCGATTTCGTGAGCACGATCAATTTTGTTCAGTTGATGTTTGATCCGATCCTTTTTGGAAAGACTCAATTCCGTTTCCAACGCGCACCATTCGTTTCCTTGAGTGAGATGGCTCATTCCGGATCCGCAGACATGCCAACCGCGGAGCAGCTGAGTCAAGTCAAGGAGATTCTTTGCTCCTTGCGTTCCTCAGGGCAGCTTGGGCCCATGCTGGCAGCGCTGGAAGCCGAGGAAGTGATGGATGAGGTGAAGGGTGGCATGCATGACAGTGCAAAGCGTCGCCTGTCGTGGCCTTCCGACTCAGATCATGGTTTCGAGTTGGTCGCTCCGTCCAGCTCCAATCTCTCTCAAGCTCCGGTGACTCCAAAGAAGCATGGCTATGGAAAGGAGGCAGCAAGTGCTGGTCCGCCCAGACAGTGTGCACCCTGCCAAAGTTCAAGGATCAGAAGTATCACTATAGTGAACTCCTGGCCAAAGCTGAGAAGAACAAGGAGATCAGTGACTACTTGAGTTGGATTTACCATGCTGGTGTCAAATCGGCCAAGGTCGATGATTTGCGCAACTACATGAAGTACATGACCTTCAATCCGGATGACAGCTCCGCTTCCATCACCTATCCAGGTACATCGATTCCTCGAGAATTTCAAAAGCTTCTTGGGAGTGTCAAAGGTGACACATGGCATATGAACCGAGGACCCTTGGCTCGAGGTCAGAGCAAAAAGGTGCCTTTGCTTGCGGCCCCGGGTGGGGCCTCCGCACCACATACATATATGGTACCCCCCAAGACCTACCTTTTCCAAGATTTGACTGGTATTTACAGTGTCTTATGTTTTTAAATGCTGTTTTGTTTATATTATTTCGGGATTCTACTATTCTAAGATTTCTAGAACCAAGTCTGACTACAAACCAAAGGGGTTCTAGAAACTTTTCTTGAAACTCCTCCAAAATCTTAGAATCCAGAGGGGGGGTTTCAAAGATTGCGGAGGGGTTCTAAGTAAAGTTTCTATAAATCTTAGAATCTTAGAACCCCTCTCTGGATTCAAAGATTTGCGAGGGATTCTAAGAAAACCGGAGACGCTCGTACTTCAGCGGTTGAAGCCTGTACAAACAGCTTCCAGATCCCCAGGTCCAGGAGCCGTATGCAAGGTGGAGTGGCAACCCCTTGCAGAAAAATGGCTCAAAGGCCAGAAGGTGATTCTGCATACCGATTCAGCTAAACGCTGTCGGACGCGTGTGGAAGGTGTGTTGCATGATCGTCGTGTCACTCACTGCAAAAAACGCGTGAAGGTACGGGGTGTTTGGAAATGGCTCCATCCACGATACGTCAAGGTGGTAGAGCACAAGCTCCCACCAAACGATTGATCGGTGCTGGCGCTTCTTGAAATACCGCATCACCATCAATCAAAATGCGAAGGCCGGCTCGCATCTTTTGAGAGCCAAATTGCGATCTGCCCAATATCAATATTGGCGCAAGAATGAAGACGCGTGGCTTGCCACTGTTTTTTGTGCCAATGAATGGGCGTTGCACCGCTTGTCTGCCTAGAGGTACCCAAAATCCGCATTGACATTTGCAGCAGTCTGAAACATTCAAAAGCATAAACTACTAAAGTTAACAACCTATCTGCTAAGTCTGACAACCTATCTGTGACATGACATTAACTCTGACAACCTAATCCGTAGCATGCTATCATTGCAGCCAACCGAAACAATGCAACCAACGCATCCTCTGTCTGACATGATGTATGTGTATCAATATCTACACATGATACACATGTGCTTGGAATGGTGAACAGGTAAGTCGTGGGGGGGGTTGTATATATTTAAATACGTGCTGCTGTGTCAACTTGCGCGCATTCGCAACAAAGGTCTCCGGGTCTGTGCAAAGCAGCTGGCCGCGCTCGTCACTTCTCAGCAGACAAAGCACCTACCATGTGGTGACTGGGACAAAACCACCACGTCAGCACGGTATACTCTTCACCTCACCACATCAAGCATCTTCACACATGGACTTCGCGACGCATCATCAGACATCAATGCAGTGCACAAAACATACAACAAAGCACAGATTCACCCCATCGGTTTTCAAAACATTATTGACTCCTTGTCTCTTGATTTGAATCTTGTATGCAACCTCCGCATTGGCCCGTACTAGCAATCATTCACGATCATTCTCTGAGATTTCAGCCTTCCCGAGGGTCGGGTCATCACGGCGCTATTCTACCCTTCGAACTGAAGATCTCATATGAACTCAGCAAGCCCTGACAAGCTCAGCTTAAAGACTGAAGCAAGAAGTGCGGCGGATGTGTGATGATCGTTTTTGGTGCTCCCTGTTGTTTTTTTATACTTTGCGCATTGCTGCTCAGTGCAGCGTGTGCTTGCTCCCATCTCTTTCAGAGACAAGTCAAACACTGCTTGATTCTGCTTGCAAACCTAGTGAGACAAGCAGATTCTTGTGTCCACTTTGGACAAGTTGATTTCGCCACCAGAAAACTCAAAGCCTCAGGACGAGGAGAATGTCCACATTGACCGTCTTGGCCTCCGCAAAGCACCATCAGCATCCATCAGCGCCATCCGTCAGAAAACAACTCACGCAAACAAGAATAGCCAAGGGGTCCAGGCCTAGTCTTTTGGCCCGCCGCTGAAACCGTCGGCCTTGTTTGGACCTACCTGTCCTCAACCTGAGAATATGAACTGAAATCGAACAAACTGACACATTGCCAATTTGCAGTGCATTACTACTAGTAGCAAGAAGCTACTAGTAGCAAGGTGCCTTACTAGTAGTAACAAGAAGCTACTAGTAGCTGACTCCTGGCATTACTACTAGTAGCAAGAAGCTCACATTGCCAATTTGCAGTTGTACATTGCGCGCAATGCACTTGGAATATTGATCGCCACTTGGGAAGGGCTGGCAGACTGTGACTGGTGGAAAGCAGTGAGAATCGAAGTGGCGCAAAGTGAGCCGAGCCCATTCAAGCAGGCCTCTCCCAAGGCCATCGCCATGTCTTTTCCTTCAAGATGAAGCTCAAGAGCACGCCCAGAATCGCTTTTTCTCACCTGTGACCAGTGATACAATGTATATTCCAGGGATGTGTGGCATCCACTCGACCGAAAGACAAACATTTGGCCAACGACATCAAAAAAAAAAGGTGGAACAAAATTGGTCGAACATGGTTGAACATGGAAAAGTGCATCAGGCTTGGGGGCTGCTCACGAAAAACTATGCTTGGATCTTCAAGATGTTGCGCCATGGGTTTTGTGTACGGTTGTTTACCGATCGGTTCACCATGGGCCTTACAGTGTAGAATTCCCGTAATATTGCCGCGCGAGTCTGAATCAACATCAAAATCTCGCGTAGAGCCGCCATGAGCCGCCACGCAAGACCTGGCAAGTCAGTTTGCGTCTGCGCTGCGAGGCATTCCCAGCAAACATCAGGGGTGTCTGCAATGTCTACTGGTCATCCCCTGCGCCCAACCTTCAGCAAATCCTTCAGCGAAAACACAATCACAGTTTTTCTATGTTAATCCGGTCCACCTAATAAAAAACACGTACCCCCCCCCCCCTAATAAGGAAACCTCGGTCGCATTTTTTCTAATAGGGGTCCCTGAAATCGGGGGCCCAAAATAGGGTCACCTGGAAAGAATTTCAAAAACAAAAAGTAATCCAGGAAAATTTTATATAAAATCCTTTATTAAACTCATATGAAAAATGCAAAAAACCGCCAGATCGAAGGGTCTTCCTTTTCCCCTACAAAAACCTTCATTAGAATAGTGATTCTTCAGTAGACTAACAGCTAAAGCTTTCGAAAGGTGATGTCGCTGTGCCATGCGGTGTTGCATGACCTCGGTGGCAAGTGCGTTTGCGTGAGTCCGTGCCATTGAGGGAAGGAAAGCCTGCTGGTGTAAGCGCGGCGTGTCATGGTGGAGTTTTGGGGAACCTAATAAAAAAAACAGAACGGGTGTCCCTGAGAGTGCGGTTTTCCATTGATTTGCAGATGTTTTTTCTGGAAATTTTGCACCAGATAGAGGCAATGATTTGCAGATGTTTTTCTGTAACTTTTGCAACAGATAGAGACATTTCAGATTGGACCAGATGTTTTGAGTATTCAGAAATACAAAAAAATACAATTTTCCAGAGGTTTGGGAATTTGGTGGTTCCAAAAAACCTGGGGTTTCCAAAAAACCAAAAAAACAAAAAAATCAAAAAAAAACCAAAAAAACAATTTTCCAGAGGTCTTTGCACTTGGGGCTTCTGCAGAAAGAGTTTTGAAATATTGTTGTTTTTTTTTTTTTTTTTTTTT